CAGCAGTGACCAGCAAGCTTTACGTGAAAGGAGGATCAGGTGGCTGAGTGAAGAGATTGCCATACCCAACCAACATTTCAAAGGGGAGAGCTCTTTGTTACTGTTGTTACTGTTGCTGTTTTTAAAGACTGGAGGAAGGACAGCCTTAGGAAGGTGTGGGTTTATCTTCTGTAGGAACAGCTTTCATTTTAGGGTTCACAGTTATCAAGCTGTAGGTTAAGATTTATCAGTTTCAAAAGTAAATCTAAAAATCCCAACCACTTCTGCAGCATACTGGAAGGTTTCTTACATTGCCATTTCTAACTACAGAATTTTATTAACAAGTGGCAAAAACGTAAAGATAGCCTTTTCCTGGTTTTCTGCAAGGGATCTATACTTTCATTTTTGATAGAGAAATCCCCACTAGTGCCACTCAGACATTTAGCTGTGTAAGAATGTGCAAAGTAAGCCACATGGCTTTAAAATATTTTGGGATTTGAACGGGAGGTTAAGCACTTGGGGGTTAAATAAACCACAGAGTGTGGTAGATCTAACAACAGGAAAGTGATCTGTAAGGCACAGTGGCCTTTCTGTAAGTGTGAAAAGCACATCTCAAGGCAACTGCTGGGGTGGAAAGGAAGATCAGCATCATGGGACAAAAATGAAGAGTTGTGGTACAGAACAAACACTAGAAAAATAAAAGAAGCCCTGATTTTGCCACTTGGAACTATTTACCAGCCCTGCAAGGAACAAGGAGCCATGCAACTGCAATTACAAGCTTCTGTACTAGATAGAAAAAGAGGATTTATATCAGAGAATCAAATGATTCTCCTCCTCCTCTCTTGTTCTGTGGTGTTGCTTTTTAGATGACTACTATAATTTAAATTAGACATGCAAGCATTAAGCCACTTTGAATTGACTTCAGGTGTTGCTGTATTATAGAAAATGCAATAATACCATGGCCATATGCTATGCTTCGTGCTAGTCAAAAGCCAGATCTGAGGGTGTGGAGAGGCCAGGCTGGCTTGGATCATGTCAAATGTAATGCAGTTTGTAGAACTGGAACTGCAGAAGTCTACATATTTACTCATTTAGGCATTGGAAAATTCACTGAAGTATCCGCTCAGGGATTCAAGTGTACTCTCAAATCAGCTGCACAGACCAAACTTAGTTTAAATGAAGATCTTTATTACAGCTGTGAAGTCTTTGCAGCTAAAAATAAAATTGACAGCTAGGATGTAGAGCTATAAACATCTACATTTTATAGTCTTCCCATAGACTTTGTTTAAGTGCAAGTTCCTAGGTGTGGCTGCAAAGCTTTCAAACAGGAGTAAACTAATCACCACTCTGTTCCTCAAACAGATGGGCTTCACTTAATCAATAAACTGAAGACCTCCTGCAGTGGGGATTCTATTTATACCAAATTCGTTGTAGGCTTGGCTTTTTCAGGCTGTTTCTTAGCACAGCATCACAGTCTGAGGGAAGGATAAGACAGGTTTATATTTGTCAGTCTATTTACACCTAATCCGACTGGAATAATAGGTTAAATATAGCAGGGAGTTAACTGGCAAACAGCATGACCATGCACAAGCAGATGAGTCACTGCAGACTGGCTTGGCCCTGAAGAAATCCTTTAACTCTGAACCTTGAGGTGTGCTTTGCACCAGGCTTTAACTGCCGGGGATCTTCAGGCCTTGTCTGGTAAAGTTTCAAATGGAAAAATGCCAAAATGTATTTCCTGTGGCTTTGGTGATGTCAAACCCCAAAGAAAATTTGTTTGTTTCTGCAGAGGATATATACTGAAGTGTGTTTGTTCATAACTTGAGCTTCATGTACTCTGTGTAACATACCAAGGAGCAAAGTGGTGCTCTATCTAATGAAACAGTCTCACAGTTCCCCTGTGGGAAAGACTGTCTTTTGAATAGAATCATAGAATTTTAGGGGTTGGAATGGACCTTACAGATCATCCAGTCCCAACCCCCTGCCCTGGGCAGGGACACCTCCCACCAGAGCAGGTTGCTCAAGGCTCCATCCAACCTGGATTTGAACACTGCCAGGACTGGAGCATGTACGACCACCTTGGGCAACCTGTGCCAGTGTCTCACCACCCTTACAGGAAAAAAACTGATAAATAATAACATGAGCAACCTCGATAACTTGAGCAACGAAGACCTCTCAGGTGAATTCAGATGAGCAGTGCTGAGTCACCTGTAAGTCAGTTTGAGTACCACTCCAAGGTGTGCTTAAATTTTACTGGCACAAAGAACACCAGTCAGGGTTAGCTGCTTGCAGGGTTTTTTGGATCTTTTTGGAGTCAAATGAAGTAGGAGAAAGAACTGGAGAGGACAGAAATCTGCGGAGGTCTAGGATGTTCCAGAACCATTTCAAATAGTGAGTATTTTATCACTCTAGTCTAGAAGTGCTCTTATAAACTGAGAAATCATGAATAAGAACCCACCTGTGGCTGAAAGTCAACTGGCTCCAGACCTCGGCACTCAAACTCCACTATTGTTTTGAATTTCTCGCTGTCTTCAGCCTGTGATTGAGTCACAATACTATTAGTTTTCATCAGGTAGAGACAGTGACAAGCATTAATCTAGGAACAGATTGCTGTAAAGGCAGTGCTGTCATCACTTATGCCCCAAGTGGCAGCAAAACCCTAGGGCTCATTTCATAGGTGGTCATTAAGCAGAATTTCTTAATCTGCCATGAGGAGACTGTCAAAGAGAAACTCGTAGTGGCATTATATAATCACCTCTGATTTCATGTGATACAGTTCTGTGTCTGCTTATGAAATACATCAGGTTATTCTATGCTGACTGTGTGCAGGAGTCTACAAGAGACTGTTCCTGTTAGGGAACAACCCCAGCTTTGTGTGCTCGTGAAAGAGGATGATAAAGCACAACCTCAAAATAGCATTAATGCTTATTTATCTCAATTGTTATATAAAAGAGAAAAACTTACATTGTAAGGCTTGATTGTCTGACTTAAAATATCTAAAACAAAACAGAAAGTGTACAAGTGAGTGGCATTAGGTCCTCAGTTTTATCAGCACAAACCAAGCACCAGGTTGTTCTTTCACAGAAATTTCCTTATACAAAGTAAAAGAAACAAAGGGACCAAGCGGTTCTTGCAGTTGGCTCTCAAAAGGTAGAATTCAATTTTCCTACCTTCTCCGAGAAGTCTGCACCATTTTGTTATCCTACCAATGCAAAACAATCTGCATGCTTTTGTAAAACAATGTTACAGGGTGAGTTTTGTTCATGCAGAGCCCTGGACTCACCAGGAGGCCTTGCCGTCTCCTTCCCGAGCCTGATGTCAGTATGTACCTGTTGTGAACTCAGGCACTGGTGTACAGGGGAAGAAATCCCTGGTGAATGCTCTTTACACACTGAGTCAAGCAAAAATGGGGGCTAAAAAATAAACTTAGGAGAAAAAGTGTGGATGGATGATGCCACCTCAGTGTGTAAGCACATACCGATGGAGTTCTCTCTGGAGCACAGCTTGCACTTCTGCACCATCGTGGCACTTCCTCGGCCTCCTTTCAGGGGAGCACTGTCCTAAAGTCCAGGACAAGAGACCTCATTGTTAATGCACTCCAGCTGAGCCACTGGGAATGTAAATTGTTTTTTACAGTGGTGTTTAACTTTGTAAAAATACTGCAACAAGAAGGCTTTGTTTAAACTAGAGATCTGTAACTCAGGAAGGTGTGATTAGCAAAGAACAATCCTGTCCTAGACTTAAAACAGGGAATAATGGATAGTTGTCTTGTCCTGATAGGCATGTCCCATTAATTCCTCAAAAATATATTCTTACCATTCAGTAATATGCAACAAAAAAGGATGATTATTCCTAAGAACCGTCTCTTACCCCTGCCAAATTTTACCCTGCTTTTTCAGTTTCCAAATGCTAATTCAGCATGCTTAGCTCACCTTTAATTCCCTGAACTTCCCCAGAAAGATTCCATCAGCATCAGACAAACAGGCTATTCTGACACCACCTCAAAACTTGTTCTCAGACTAAATTTTTACAGAAAATATGTGGGGTATTTTTTTCAAAGCAGATGTAAATACTTTGTCACCAACAGTCACCATTCCAATGGTGTATTTCAATTAACAGTCTCTAAATGTTTTTTGATACGGAACATGACAGCATTTTCTAAATGCATATAGCTATTGAAAACTATTAAATGCATGTAGCTATTGAAAACTATGCAATGCATGTAGCTATTGCAAAGCTCCCTCATCTGAAGCCCAAGCTGTCAGCCCCCGATGCTAACAGGGGTGCCAGGTCTGTGCTCCCGTTTTTGTCCCGAGGCGGGGCACACACCAGGAGCCGCAGGTCCTGCCACTTCTCCGAGACTTCGCCGCAGTTCCCACATTTCAGCTGAAAGACAGAGATCAGACTGAGAGCTGTCGGGCACCCGGGATGACGGCGCCGCGGTGAGCCCTCGGTTCG